GGAGGATTTCTCTGAGTTCTATCCTCTTAACACTCCCAACAGCAACTCTGTTCCACAACTCAATACTTTAATATTTAACAGGCACCATGGCATACATCCACAATGCATTGTCGTATAAACAAAAACAAGTGTTATCACCTATGTTACCAAGCACAACTCATCCTACAACAATTACTAGATTCCAAATTTCATTAGATACATAAAAATTCCTAAGAGAGGCTTCAAACTGGTCTTTTTTGACATGAAGTTTCAGTTTTTTAAAGAATTTATCAATTTTATTGGCAATTTTATTTCAAATATCTCAAGATGTTTCTATGTACTCAGTAAAACCCTGAAAAAATAAGAAAAACTAGGAATTTCATGAAAAAATAGGAGAATATAGGAGGCAGGCCAAAAAATAGGAAAAAATAGGAACTTGACACCCTGTTAAATGAAACAAAGCCACAGGGTGGGATGGAATCTCTCCAAAAGTTTTACAGTTAACTACCAGAGGTCTGGCACTGTCCTTAACAAGTCTCAAGAACACCATCACTACGAAGGGAAATTGGCCAAACATGTGGAAAATGAGGGAGTGGACCCCTGTCTTCAAGAAAGGAGATAAAACCAACCGGGGAAATTACCAACCTATAACAGTACTGAACTCTATTAAAATATTAAAATCATTAATTTCCAAGCAAATCATGAAAACCATGGATCCACATCTTAACCAGAAAACGTCTGGCCACAGAAAAACACATAGCTGTGAAATAACATTAATAAGACTAACAGAGGAATGAAAAATGGCTGCCAACAATAAAGAGTATGTGACTGTTCTATACACCAATATAAGCAAAGCTTTTGATTTTCTGCACCCTGCACTAATGATTCAGAAACTCAAAGCATACGGCTCTTCCAAATTAAAGACCTACAGTGAGTTACTAACAAGAGCAAGTCTACTTAGTTGGTACCAACAACAGTTTCAAAACATCACCAATTTCACATATAAAGTAAGAAAGGGCTTATGCCCACTTATAAAACTGAAATATTCAATACTGCCCTGAAACTATATAATCTAAGGAACACAGGCACACAATGGAAAACATTCTCTATGATACTTTGGGCCCCATCTTTGGAATAAATTAGAACAAAGTGATAGAAAGAATCCTGATTTTATGAGTTTTAAAAACAGTATTAAGAGCAAAGACCTATCACTCTTAGTAAATAATTGTAAAAGCTGTGATATATGCCACTAGGCTGCTTTGAATTTTACATTTATATATATTTGATATCTTATAAGCTTATTTAACTAAGTTCTTATACTTCATTCATTTATTCATTTGTCTATCTATTCTATACATTATGAATTGAAGTGTAAATATTTTTAACATTATGTAGCTTAGGTATATTTTAATGGGCAAACAGTGTCCCCAATTAGATTTCTTCAAGCTAAATACTATTGATACTTTAATAAAGTCCTTCATTCATTCATTCATTTGAAAAATATCAGGCTATCTCCCATATTGGACCTCAGTACCTTCAGGATACACTGTACGTAACAGATTCTACTACGGGAATTATCAGAGCAAACCGTCTTATAGGGCAGTTAATAAACACTGGGATGTATTTATAATCCATAACCGTGCAAGGTTAGATGGAAATGTACCTTCTTAAAAAAACAGTGTCGCCATCATCACATGTGAGCTTGTAAGCATGTTTTGAACCGTCTATGACTCTTGCATGGTCTGTTCTTCGCAAAGGAAGCTTTTCCAGGGTACTGTCTAGAGTTAAAATACACACAAATAGGCGACTAAAAAGATTATGAACTGCTCTTGTATGAAATTACAAACTGTTTTTTGAAGGAACAATCGATCATTTCAAACCACCTTCTGAGGTAAAAGGAGCGAAAGTACTTAGAGTTTTAGAATCGTTCGAATTTGAGTCAATGTTTCAAATCTTACCGAGAATCAAAGCCATCTGTCCGCATAGACAGTGATAAACAGTCAAAGTTGTTGCGCCTTGATTGTATTCTTCTTTGTCTTTGGTGTCAGAGCACACTATACTGCGGGACACAACCTTGGGCATTTTTCAGGTAAGGCTAAAATTCTCAAATCAACGAAAAAACAACTTAGCAAGATGGCCGCCGCGCGACGTGGTTACCAAGTTAATGACCAGCAGGTCGCATTGCGGGCGTAAGACTATATCAAAACACACTAGGGAGGGCTCGATCAGTCTGGTTGTCCAGTACTGCACGTTTGGTTAGACTAGGAATGTCCAGATAATAGAAGGGTCTAACTTCAAAAGTGAGGGTAAATTTTTCTTCTTTGTTAGGAGTTTTGATCTTTTCCTCCGTTTTATTAATCTTCTCTCTATTTTTTTGTTTCAGTCGTAAGACTGACGCACCTCCGTACCCCCGCTTAGTAGACTTTGTCACTTTCTAAGAAAAGTGAAAAAAAAAAAAAAAAGACATGTGAATCAATACCGAGGCTTGCCAGCTCGACCATTCTTAATTGACACAATGGCAGTATCGAGCGATGTCTCAGTTGTAAAAGTATTCAATTTCATCAGTGGAAGTGGCGGAGTTTTAGAACTATCGCATTTACTTAAAAATCCCTCGCCTTTGGCAAAGAAATCTACTGAGACTGAGCTGATTTTATGGTTTCAAACTCAGAAAGATTTGGACCCAAACAACAGATTGGTTTTGGTAAGAAATCAACGTGATGAAGCTGTCGGCGTGCGAATCGACTTGGCCAAACAAATGTGTTTAAAGTACTCCACCGAAGAGTCTTGTAAATCAGGAAGTAGATGTAAATTCTGGCACTTATGTAGGGAGTTCCTTGAGGGAACTTGTAAAGGAAACTGTGGCCGATCACATGATTTTCACGATGAAGACAACAAAGCGAAAACGGTGGAATTGGGTTTTGAAGGAAAAGCGACTGGGCCTTTGAAAACTATTGTCGCCGGAAGCTTTCTGCAGGTTTGTCTTATGTATTCAAAAAATGGTTGCCTCTCTGTAAATTGTCCGTATCTTCATATTTGTGTTAATGCGGTGCGGGCAACAGCCTGTGGATGTAGTCGGTATCACGATTTCACTAGTCCGCACAACAGAAGCTTGCTGAAACAGTATGGGTTCAGGCCTCCCCGAACGTCAGACATGGATGTCGTTCGTTGTAACATTCTGATCCCGAAGCAGCAGAAATCTTTTGAAGGAAGGGCTATCAATGATCCAAGCTTCAGCAGGCAACCCACGCCAAGAGTTAATAAGCCTGATAATATTACACAGAGGCACCCCTCACATCAGGGTAAACCTGGAGCTGTTAGTCTGGCGCGTTTATGCCAAAACTTCTCTAAACCTGAACCAAAAGCACCTGCTCAAGCCAAACCAGAAATGCATCATGACACTGCACCTCCTGATGCTGATCCTCTGTTTATGAAAGTTTTTAATTTCATATGTAGTAAAGGAGGGTACTCTTCATTGCGGGACCTATTACAACCACCCTCGCCATTGGTAGGGAAGTTTTCAAAGTCTGAGGTTGATGCAAAGATTTGGCTTCAAGTAAACACTCACCCAGAACAGGGACAGAAAATCATTTTGCTAGAGAACCAAAATGGTGATATTCTCGGTGTTCGAGTAAATTCAAGGAAAAAATTATGTTTGCAGTATATGAAAGGTTATTGTAAATCTCTCAACACTTGTCAGTATTGGCATATCTGCAAAGGTTACCTTGAGGATACTTGTCAGGGAGGCTGTGGTCTCTCACATGACTTCCATGATGAGGGTAACATAAAGAAGATACAGAGATTGGGGATTGAGCGTTGCCCAAATGGAACTTTAAAGAACATAATTTCACACAGTTTTCCCCGAATTTGTCTCCCATATGTGAATAGTAGATGCAACTACAGTAATGACTGCCGACATTTACATTTATGCCCCCTTGCTTTTGGAGAAAACTCGTGCAGTTGTAACTTGACACACGCTTTAAATGATGACCATAATTCCTCAATTCTAAAGCAATATGATTTAGACCCTCAGAGAACCAAAATAATCATAATGCAGAGCAACATCTTGTTCCCAAAGAGGCAAAAAGGTCCCACAGAAGCCAAGCTTTCCTCAGCATGTTCTTCTTTAACATCACAGCCAGCATCTTTGATGTCCTTGCCTGTAGCCCTAAAAGATGATAACAATCTGGATTCACAAGTGAAAAGGTGTCCAGATGAGAGGCTGAAGAAGAGGAGAAGGCAACGACGAAGACAGAAGAAAAAGGCAAATCAAGCAGGTGAACCATGTGAAGAATCACTTGCAGATGATGTTGAAGAGGAAGGTTCAGATTCAACCTCAGATAATGAAGATTTGCCAGACAAACCTGATCTTTACTCAGTTTCAAAATTTTCCAATCAGCCTAGTCCAAGCACAAAGCATGTAGACACATCAGGGAATACATCTGTTCAAGGTCTGAGGAAGCAAACACAATCCAACAGTGGGATGACTTACCAGAACCAGGTTTCTGGAATGGGCATAAGTGAAGTTGCTGAAGGAAACTTGATCAATTTTTCTGATGAGTTAGAAGATGGATTTCAAGATCTTGAAGATACATTTGGTTCACAGGATGACTTCTCAACTTTTGAGCCACTTTCTCAAGTGGATGATTTGCTCTTCAACCTGTCCCCAACAAATGTTGCAGGAGCACTGTCTCAGGACAGTACCTCTTTTGACCCATCTGAACAGCACAGTGCAGAAAGCCAATTGGAAAAAGAAGCTGTAAACTCTGTTTTTCAATACATTTGTAAAGAACACAATGGTGAAGTGCCTTTTGCTGTAATATCCCAATGCTACAACCTGTTTCCTCTAGATGCTATTGATATTGCTGCATGGTTCAGGGAAAACTCAAGCAGGTTTATGATCATTGAGAACAGTGAAGGGGGAATTGAATCAGTAAGAGCATGCACCCCTAAAGCACGCATCTGTTTTCGCTACTTGATGGGCAAAAATGGCTGTAAGGATCCAAAGTGTTTCCGTTACCATGTCTGCAAGCATTATCTTGCTAATGGTGCCTGTCCGTTAGGGAAGAAATGTAGATACAGCCATAGCCATAATCTGAAGAGCCCTCACAACAAAAACATCACTAAAAGGCGGAAGCTTGGCTGTTTCTCAGATGAGCAGCTACGTGTCCTGATTTCTGCCTCTGTTCCTGAAGTTTGTCTTGATTACAACAAGAAATCTTCTAGATGCAGGAGAGGTCTACGTTGCTATGCAATTCATGTCTGCAAGCATTATGTAATGGGCAATTGCAAAAATGGAGCCAACTGCCCTCTTAACCATGAGGCAAGTCTCAAAGAACCCCATACCCGGTTAGTTCTAGAGAAGTACAATTTGACCACTGTTCCAGTGCAAGCTGTCTTTCGAGCCATTCTGGTGCGTGGACAGAGGCAACCATTGACCATGGAAACCAAAGAGGAACAAGAAGCTGGTAAGAAGTGTAATCAGTATTGTACCTTTGGTACTGGGCTGCACTGGAAATTGCTTGAAGTACCATTACCCAAGTTAGTTTTTTATGGTTACATACACTATCTCATTATCTGTACACATCTGACCAAGAAATTTTGTCATTTGTGTTTTGAACCTGGCCATGGTCATTTCTAACTCAATTTGTAAGCATGGGGTTGTTTATGGATCTTTTTTTATTGAGCTTGTTCACTTGCATGTATCTATTTTACAGATGCAAATCATTGTGTCAAAGAAATGAGATGATACTGTACTATGATGTTAGACAAATGTCAGAGACATCAAATCTTATGAAATAACCATACTTTTAGCAAAGAAATTGATGAGATTTCATCATCTAACGCCCAAAATCATCCTTTACCATGTATTTGTTCATGGCAGGATTCTAATGACTCTGATTCCAGCGGTTTGGGAATGTTTGGTATTCTTGATTTTATTTTATATATTTAATAATTAACCCTGTTCATACACAGGCCTCTAAGAACATAAATGAAAATTCAGTTCTAAATTTATTACTGAACAATCTCTTTGTTAATTCTGTAGCTGCACAACCTCAAAAGAAACAAGTGATGAATCCAAAGACAGAGGTGCAAAACTTCCATAGCCCCCAGTACATCTGCCTGGAATTCCTATTGGGTCATTGTGGCAAGGCTCAATTGTGTGAGTACTTTCATCACAACATGCCATACATGTGGCAGTATAGATACCTTGACAATGAGCAAGCAGATGGATGGAAGGCATTCACCGAAAATGATAGTGAAGACATTGAGAGACAGTTCTGCACTGTTGATGTTACAGAGACAGAAATTGGACACATTCAAGTTGCACCTCCTCCAACTGCACTGTAAGTACAACTTGTTTCACCAATAGGAAATTACAGCTTTAATCACTTTTCTTGTCTAGTGAACCCGAAGAATATATTTATTTTGTTAAATAAAGAAGGGTAGCCAGCCCTTATCCCTGGTATACCCACCCTCTCTTCATAACTTATGACTGATTTCCCAGAATACACTCTGCAACCGACAGTGAGGAGTTTTGATGAAGGAAGGGCTGTTAAATTAACTAACTGAAGCTCCAGTTTTAAGCTTGGAAAGATCTTTATATTATAAGTTAACGCTGATCTAAATATGATTGATAATCATAATGTTTGGTTTCACTTCTGTGTGATAGTTAACTTTCCCTTTTGTTGCTGCAGTATTGATCCTGGAGAAGGTTACATCAAGATCAACTTTGATGAAATGAAAGCTGTGACAGGATTTGGATCTGTGGAGCTGAGACGTCTGTCCACTAAGTCAGTGAGCTCGCTTACAGATCATTCTCTATTGACTACATGGGTTTGGTACCTGTCAGATCAGGACAGCAGTTGGACTGAGTATGATTCTGAGCTTATGGTATGTCTGTAAGATAATTGCTGATCATTCCTACTCTTTTGGGTAAAAACAGAGGAAAAAAAAATTAATATCAAGAACACAGACTATCATTGGCTTGGTAACAGAAAAGGGGTCCTCTCTTCTCATCTGAGAGTTGCTTGACAATTCACTGCATTCTTTTAGGCCAATGAGCAAATCAAATTTTATCTTAGGTCTGAAAAGTAAAAAAAACATTTTTGGAGAATTTGGTGAGTGATTTATGAAGCTCTGCAAGTAAGATGATATAAATATCCACATCTGGAGACAGTTTTGGTTCTGAAACTGCCCTAAAGTAACCGCAGCCTATATGTATGTATATTTATATGTATATGTATATATTTATATATATGCATAATTTTTTTTTTATTTTTTTGCTTTTGTCATCCATTTTAGGGACAAATTTATTGTGAGCATAACTTTTCTTTGATATTGTTGTTTATTTAATGTTTTTGTATTTATTAACGAGCTTCGAGCATTTTCCATATTCAGGAAATGTCCCCTTCTTTTCCATGCAATGGCAGGTTTTATTATAATTTATTGATTCTTAGATACCGAAGTTTTATGTTTGTCGTTATTTCGGGAAAAAAGGGGAGTTCACTTCCTCATTTCGGCGGTGGTATCTTCTGAAGGCTTATTTTTTTCTATTTTCCTTTTTTTCGTGCCATGATGTCTCCAAACAGAAGCGAATAGAAGAGTCGTTCACCAAAGGAAGATCATTCCATAAATTTAAAAGAGGAGGAGAGGACCATAAGTTGTTTTTTCACAAAACATCCATGTACCAGCAGAACTTGAAACCACCCATTAAAGTTACAAAAGTGAGAAGAAGGCCTTTGTTTAGGTCTAAGTCGGAAATAGAGAGGCTGCAGAGGTAAAAACTAACACTGTGAATGCTTACCTCTAAAGATATGTTAGATCCAGTCACCTTGATTTCTACAAGGTTATTTTGTGGCATGATGACCCTATCGTCCATCTCAGGGGGTCATTTAAAACGTAAAATGCGCTCGTAGCAACAACGAAGGCAACTTATGCGCAAGGCTTATTTTACAATACAGAAAGTCATGAGGTAGAAACACGTGGGAAACGCGTGTTGACGAGGAATATATTTTTGTTTTTGCATGCATCAAATTGGTGGGGTGATTGTTATTTTGACCAATCACAGTAAGCGCACTTGGGTAGGCCGAACACTTCGGGTGGTGTTCTGTTTGTTTATTTCTTTTGTTTTCTTGTATGTATAAATGTATATTAGTGTTTTCGTTTCTCCAGTGAGATTTTTACTTTGCTGTTTGAGTTTTTGTTTACTGGTATCTAGAGTGTATACATCGTAGTCAAACGAATATTGTATGGGTATATGTTGTAAGCTAGCTTTTGTTGTATCTGCTTTGAGACTCTGTACAAACACGAGTTTATTTTATGTCATTATCATTATCACTTTTCTAAAGAAGGCCAGGAACTGAAAAAATCAAATGAACAGTATGAGCTTTAATTCGCGAGGAAAAGCACTATAAGGTTAAGCGAACTTCGTGTTTTTTTTTATATTCTTCAGTCCCCTTGAACTACCAATCCCATTGCAACCCGCAACACCAGGGCAGTCTACCTCAGCTTCATCACATGGTCACACTCCTTCTCACTGGGAACGTGTTCCTGAAGACCGAGAGTTCATGCGTGTTCCTCTGACTAGCAACTCAGATGAATTCAAATGTGCCGAAAGCCTGTTTCGCCAAACCATGTCCGAAAACAAGGCAACTATCATCTCCGTTGAGCGAGTTCAAAATCCGTTTTTGTGGAAGAAGTATGCAGAGTATGTATTGAACGTGTTATTTCTTCTTTTGGTAGTTAATCCTCTTCGAGGTTTTTTCTAGGTATTACAGTCATACGCACCAGTGTAACTCTTGCTCTTGATGAATCCCAACAGACTTTGAAGTCACTGAGGTTGCATTTGACACATACATTTGTAGTGAACTAGGAAAGTAGGAAATGTCTAGCCCGCAGCCAGAGATGAATTGGGTTAAGCAGTTGACTACTTTACGCATAAAGTCATACATCTCGTGAATACTGCTGCCTGCGTCTTTTAATCAGTTCTGGCCTCTTGGCTTATTGTTTAAGAAAATTACCTTAAGGTAAACGAAACAAGAACTGAACTCTGGTTAAAATAAAAACTTCAACAACGCAATTATAACGGCAATAAGAAAAAAATTATTGCTAAAACTTGCAATTCACTCACTTCAAATCAAAACAGAATTTAGGTTGAAATTTCATTCCCAATAATGAAGCTGAAATTTTGTGCTGTTCCTCTTAGTAAGAAAGAATGGATGGAGAAGAAGGCCTCGGTCAAAGACAATCCTATGAATGAAAAACTTCTCTTCCACGGAGTTGATCCCCAAGTTGTAGACACGATATGTGAGGAGAACATCGACTGTCGTGCTCTAGAAGAGGACCGAGCTGCCCAGTTCGGTAAAGGAGCCTACTTCACAGAGGAGGCGGCCTTGAGTAATCTCTACTGCAGGCAAGACTCCGAGTCCTTCCGGTACATGTTTTTGTGCGAGGTTCTTGTGGGGTCATATGCCAAAGGTGAGCCAACCTTACCACGACCACCGTTAAGGAGTGACTCCGAAGCCAAGAAACAGCGTTATGACTCTTGTGTGGATAACGTCACCAAGCCCACCATTTTTGTGCTGTTTGCCTCGGATCAGTATTACCCGACTTTCTTGATAAAGTTCAAGACCAAATCTAAGGTGGTCTGTTGATCATTGAGGTACATATACTGTTTACAGACCTCATAACATACTCACGCTTAGATTATAAATTTTCATTCTAAGGCTTGAGAAGCTTTGAATGCTTAAACGAAGTGAGCGCATTTCTTTGGTCAGCGTTTAAAATGAAAGTAAAAAAACGTATACATGTATCTTCCTTTCCCGTTTCGGTGAGCTCGAAAGCAGCGAATATGATTTTTCGATTGAAAATAATCAATCTACATACAGAAACATTCGAAATAAGGAAGAAAGAAGCCAAGGTGGTATTAAACTGACTTGAAATTGGTTCGATATTTCATTTTATGTCATGACCATTGAAAGCAGCGCTCTTTGGGTTTTATGACAAGAGTATGAGGTGATCTGAAAGGGTTTGTTATCTGAAATACAGTTCTTAAGCCCTTGCAGAATTCTCTTTTCATTGAAGACTCATTATTGCTACAAGAGATGCACAGGAATCTTTTCCCCCTGAAATTCTATCCTCCTGAATAACCAGTCTCATACTCATGTGGCATAAATTAGCTTTTAATTTCCTGTAGCAGTAAAATGAACGGTAATATTTCCTTTGGGACGTGTTCCTTATGGGATGTCAAACCGCATCCCTAGTTAACACCACAAAAGGGACAACTATGTTTATGGGATATTTCAGTGTCTGTTGAATGAAGGTCCCATTGCATTTTTTCTTGTGTGGTAGTAATATAAAATGTAACTAAGAGAGGTATTATGTGGTCTGAGGCCACTGATAAGTTAATATATCTCTTCGGTCGATGAAACTATTCACCATAAAACGTCCTCCGTATGTGCGTATAGCAGATACTGACGTCATTCTGACGTTAAACTCAACTATCAGGATCATCTTCGACTGACAATTTAATCGCTTTTCGTCATAGAAGCAGGTCTCAGAAAAAAAAAAGAAAGAAAAAAGAAAGAAAAAAAAAAAAAAAAAAGAATAAACGGTTTTGTTAAAAATATCGCTGGTTCCAACACAAGAAACGCGATAATTTTATGCTGCAGTTTATTTCACGTGTACGTTGGTCGGTCGACTGAGCCACTTTTTGCGAGTTTGCGATTTGCGAGTACTCACGTACTTCCCGACTTCACAACGGAAACTGCATACCCCTTGCTATTACGACTCACGAAGGCTCTGAAATTATGTGGCCTACCTGAAATTATGTGGCCTACTGTAACGTGCAACTGTCACAAAGTACTGAGATGTGTTTTGATAGTTATTGTCTCTTGTTACGAAGGTACTTCAGGTACCAATGCAAGTTTCGGACTTGAGCACTTTTGTTTTGCTCCAAAGGGTTTTTAACTCTTATAAGCTGGTCTATAAAAGGCTTATTTCACAATAGTAAGTCATCTTAAAGCCATGCACGGCTTACTTGTGAAGAGGGCAAAACGTTTTCTTCCGTTTTTTGTGACCAAGTGGAAGTTTACCCATGAAACTCCGTAAAATTGTAGCCCACGATCTCATGGTTCACCCAAAATAAATCTTGCGCCTGTCAACAATTTTTTTGAATAACGTTAGTGTTCATGATAAGGTGATTTGATCTCCCTGGTTAAATCAGCTAACTCTGCTACATTTTGAACAGCAATTTATGGTAGTCTTGAAATACCATTTTAAATGCGCTATTTCAAGTTGACCCGTAATGCTGCGTGAGATTTTTCAAGCATTCCAATCATGTAAACATACTTAAGGGGAAAAATGACGTGACATAGAAATTTCCCAAAAGAATTAGGTAGAAAAGAACTGGACAATTAGATTCATGTTTATGCCATAAATGACGAAAAATTGTGTCATAAAACTGAATGTATTACATCAATTCTTTAGTTTCGAGGGAAGTTTAGTCTTTGGTTGCTTGCTTTAGTTCGGAATGTTTATGCACGGTAGACCATAAAGTGTAGTTGGGTGTTGTCTCATGCAAACCATGCTTAGAAATAGGTCCGTCTCCCCCAAAAATGGCTCAGCACAGTCACTGTGACCCTGAGAAGTTGTGTAGAAATACTCTGGAGATGACAGTAACATTCGGGTTGTCTTACTTTACTAAAACTTAGTTTTAGTGAATTAGTTCAGTTCCAAGTCGATTGATTGTCCAATTCGGAAGAAACTGCCTTTTATTCTCTGAATTTAAAATAATATATGGCGCAGTCCTTAACCGTTTTACTCCCAAGATCTCATCAGTAATTCTCCTTACTGTCTGTCATACAATTTCTATGATGTTAGTTCGGAGAATTTGGTATTAGATCAACTGACAGTGCTTGTTGATATTCTTCTTTTTCTCATCACTTATCTTCTTGTTGATGTATTGATAATTTAAGGAGAACCTCTGTCATGGTCACGCGTGGAAGTGACGGGTTATATATCGTTAGCTTAAGTAAGCGTTTTGTAGCTAAATATAGAGCTGTACAAGTTTAATAAACAATTGAACGCATTAGTGTCGAAGAATGCACCGTAAATCAGCAAAACTATAGCAGAACTTGCTCTTGGTGTAGCTCATAACTTAATCATAACTTAATCATAATTTATTTAAGAGTTTTAATGAAATGCCATTATGTTATTTAGTATCATTAGATGAATTGTAATACATTTCGGTGTCTCTTCGCCGCGCGCCTCGCCGAAATTAGATTCAGTGAACGCATCGAGGTGTAACGCGATGTCTCTACGGCTTCCAGTGGGCAAAGCGTTAGCGCGCGCCGTTGTCAAATCTTGGCGTTTTTTTGGTCACGGAAAGATGTGCGACGCTTGCTTGTTGGCGTGCGGTGTAAGGCGTTAGTTGATTTGCGCTTCTTTATCCATTGCTTAAATCACTACTTTTTTCCTTTACTTTTACTCCTAAGCGCCAATGTTATATGTATATGTACTCTTTATCGTTAACTTATCAATATATATATTTTTTCACATTGATTGCTAATGTTTTCGCAGTCTAGTACCTTTGATTCGGTAAGGTGAATTGCCAAATCAGTGAAGGAAACAATGTCTTGTTCAGCTTATCCTTTGGTGACCTTAATTTCCTGGCTATACCACCTAGTGTATTTTACCCTTGAGAAATGGTACTGTTTCTTGTGGAAGAGATCTTGTTCGCGTCAACGGCTGCGATGAACTGAACACGACAGTTGTATCCAGAAAAACATCATGTTATTTGGAAGTTATAGAACTTGTAAACTTTAAGTTAAAACTATGGCATTAAACGGTTGTTGAAATTAAAAAGTTTTTGATGTCTTTTTCTTCGTACTCGGTGGTCGCAGATATAAAAGAAACGATAAAAGACTGCATTTTTGTGTTAATACATAGATTTGATGGCCATAAAAAGAGATGCAAGCGTTATTTTCCTTATTTCCAAAATTTACGCACGCTGACCCCTACTCTGCCAGTATTCTTTTGTTGCTAGGTAATCCATGCGCAAAAGTCAGCGCTCCAGCGATGAGTAAGTTTGTTCTGATCGTACAGTTTTCTAAGCAGTTATGAAAGGGAAATAATGCTTAAAAAGCAAAACGTTTACATGTCAAAACCTATGTAATCGGTGTTCAAGTGAAATCACGTTTTAAAAAAGCAATAAAATCATTCAGCTGTTGTATCAAATGATTGTAATCATACAGATGATCATAGATATGATGATGGCTGTTATAATTTTCATCTTTCCCGGGGAAAATTTTCTTGGACAGGAACAGCTTGGAACATGCGCCTTCAAGACTAATAAGTGGTTGGTGAAAGTTGAACGGCTTGAAGAGCTAAACGCACGATCTGCACAAATGGGTATATTTATGGCAGTCATAGTCCTCGCTTAATAACTGGACTGTGTGAATGCATCATCGTCATTACGGGTTATTGACAGCCAAGATGAGCTCCAGGTTCTTCCTTGTGTAGTTAGTTCATCAGAATGATCGCTTTCCCCGTTAAACTTGGTTGAACACCCTGACTTGTCACGAGTAACAGAGTCTCTCCGTGACTGCAACTCAGCTGCAATGATATGGGGGATATCTGCCTGAAGGAGCGTTGGTGGTAACTCTCTCGTTTTGAACAGCTGCCCATGAAACAAAGAGTTTTGATAACAGGGAGCCTTCCGTGATAATTTTTTATGAGACAACCGAACTTGTATCACAGGGTCTTTGGCCATCTCTCTATGAATCATTTCCCCCCTTAACAGAGGTGCACGGTTCTGATACATGGGGACTTGAAAAACCTTTCCCTGGCCAAGAGTTCCCTTGCACTTTTTGTTCTGGAAGATTTGTTGACGGTTAGAACTTCATTGAAGGAAAAGTGGCTGCTGGTAACCTTGCCTCGTCTGTAAAAGTGAGACAAAGGATACCTGGACCCGTGACCACAGTGGCGGTTGGATTTCTTCAGCATCCAGGGTGCTGCTCTTGAAAATATTTGAGACTGGGACAGCACTGCTTGTGATAATTTGGCTTTGGGCTTAGGGACTTGCAGCAACCGTGTGGGAATCCCTTGAGTCGTGAGGAAAAACTGAATTGCAAATTCGCACTTTTGAATTAGCTGTGTCGCCTTTTTTAACCGGTTCTTCATTCATCAGAATGAGCTGGTCGAGATAGCCTGAATCCAAATCGGTCACCTGATACCAGTCAAGCACTGCCCTATTGTGCTCACTCCTCATGGTCTCTTCATGGCTAAGACCGCAGCCAGATGCTTTACAGCGCCTCAGTAAGTAGGCGATGCACGTATGGATTCTGGTGCACGAGGACCCATCCTGACAAATTCCATTGTTGTACTCTGCGCAAATCTGTGGTGTCGATGTCAACACGAGCCAACGAAGCTCTTCCTCAATAAACTGATCTAGCTTAATTCTCGACAGCCATACCCGGTCTTTTCCGTTGTGAAAGCTGTGATTCCAGTGACAAGTTGCCCCATTGGAACACGAATCAGTGACGTAATCTTTGCAAACGTGCATGTACGAGCAGCTTTCATTCGAACAAGTTACATTGCAGGTATAACCATGACAGATACATGCCCTTGAAGAGAAGGCTTAAACTTCTGAAATCATTCCCTAATCATCTTCCTTTATCGAAAAACTTCCTTTGTTCTCACGAAACCACAGCTCGATATCAGAATGCTCGGGAGGGTAGAGATCCGTCCATTTACAAATGATAGAAAAAGGGGCCGATTAGA